AATCTCAGCAAAGCCTTTGACTGTGTAGACCACGAATTATTGATAGAGAATTTACGACGCTATGGCATTAGGGAAACACCATTAAATTTGTTGATTACCTATTTGGAAAATTGGAAACAGAGTGTTAGCCTAAATGGGAAAACCTCCGATCTTGAAGATATAAATCATGGTGTGCTCCAAGGCTCTGTCATGGGGCCACTTTTATTCATCATCTATATCATATATTCAAAGTCTTGAAACTATGAAAGAGAATAGAAAGAGTTATCGCGAATGCTGGATATAGAGACCACTGTCGGCCTCTTCACCAACAATATGGTATTATGTCATTTCCATCGCTTTACATACATGTATATCATCAAGGGCTGGAAATTCATAACAATAATAATAAACTACAATTTAATTCCCATCTTCATGACTATAATACTCGAGGTTCAGGTCAAGTTAGGCTCCCCCCGATACAGGTTGACAAGATCTTCAAAAAACAATCATCTACCTATCCAACTTACATCTTAAGATGATCTATCACTATATCAGGTTCTTTTGTACTGGTAGATTGATATGGCCGAATATTTTTCCATAAACATTTTTTATAGGTCACAACCTTTGCCAGATGATACTTCAGGTAAAAGTGGTGCTAAATTCTACCTGAGCTATGACAAAATTTTCATCATCAAAACATTAACCTCAGAAGAAGTGGAGAGGATGCATTCCTTTTTGAAGCATTACCATCCTGTAAGTTGATGGTTCAAATCATTTTTTTATTTCTAGGTATCGGTACTAAAACAATCAGCACTAAATCTAAAATATATATGTATTGTTTATATTCTGGGTAATGTTATCACAGATCATTTCAGAAGGATTATCAATAGTCAGTTGTTTTATCAGACGTTGAATATTCATTTTTTGTTCTCAGGATGTTACAAGGCTTTTGCATTATCACTCATATCATACAATCTTTCAATTGTTTGGAACATATTACCACTCTTCATTTATTTAATCAAACAAGGAATTAAAAGAAATGGAAAACGGTGATGGCGTAAGATAAGCATATTCTTTGATGGTTTATCATTTTTTTCCAATTAATCTCATTCACTTAATCCAACATGATATTGAATGAAATGAAAAAATATGATGACCAGATAAGCAAATTCTTTGATGGATAACTTCTTTCCAGTTAATCTTAATAATCATAAGTGCTAAGAAAGAATTACTCGGATATGTTAGAAGTAGTTCAGAGAAAAAAGATTCTTCAATTAAAAATTATTATGAAAAACTGACTAGTTTCTCTTTCTTCAGTATATTGTAGAAAGGCATGGCAAAACGCTTCTCCCTCAATATCTGGGCATGTATCGATTGACGGTCGATAACGCAGAACACTATATCGTCGTAAGCAGAAACGTGTTCTCCAATCATTTGAACACCCATCGGAAATTCGATCTGAAAGGATCTACCGTGGACAGGGAGGCCTCCGAAAAGGAGAGAGAGAAAGATCTACCCACCTTCAAGGACAATGATTTTGTTAACGAACAGATGAAGGTATTGTTGTGCCCAACCCTCGGCCCAACCCTTCATTATTTACACTAACAAGATGATCATGTGAAATGTTGAAGCAAAATTTGGATTTAGTTCTTGGCTAGTTCGTAGGCGGCGCTAGCAAAATATGGCTGATTTGTGTATACTCTCGGAATCTGCTAAAGTTCATGCATCTCCAAGTTGCTGAACTATCTGAAGCAGGAAAATCACTATAATTGATACTCTGACTTTTAGATAATACAAATATTTCACTCTGGTCCCGATGCGACATTCCTTCTTGAATAAAAACATCTAAAAATACACTTTTCTCTACCCTACGCTACTCAGCAAAAAGTATTTCATCTTCTCGTTCATAGAGTTCCTAAATGTACTTGACACTGCTGCTTTTGACATTCAGTATATATGTACATACCAACTCGACATCAACCTTCATTGAGGTCCTTCAGCCTTATCATTCAATATTTCGAGAAGAAATAATTTTCTAATCACTTTATCATACCCTTTTACCCACTCGAGGAGACGCTATGCACTCTCATACAAAAATCAAAGACAAAGAAAGATATATGGATGTACTCTTCCCAGGACTTGTGAAGGATGGAAGATGCGAGGATCCCTCATCTAAGCGAAAAACATATCCTTGTCCTTGTCTGGCAAAACATATGATTTGCTTCAAAATCGTTTGTGGTTATGTTTGATTGTCACTTCTTGTCTAGTGTCCGTACTCTAATATACAAAGAACGTCAAAACTGCAGTGTCAAGTACATTTAGGAACTCTACTTCTCTCGTTCATAGATACCGCACTCTACTGAATGAAATCACTGGCTTCATTGCTCCTATGAGGATGTTTCATCTTGTTGGTGTAAATTATCAAGGACCCAACTGATGAAAAGCGATCTTTCCACCAAAACATTGCTAGTGGCAGATAAAATACGATATACACCTTGGTAGTAAATATTAATATTACCATGGGTATTGATTGTGAAACCATTCACTTCGGATCTGGAAACATACGTTTTTGTTGTCTTTTAGGTTAGCATCGGGGATGAAGCCAAATCAAAATTAATGGAAACATTGAATGCAGATGTCGTATTTTTGACGAAACTGCATTTAATGGACTATAGCCTCTTGTTAGGTAAGTGAAGTGATTGATAATCCTAGATACCATTTCTATCCCAGGTAGCTTCATCTGTCTTTCAGTTTCGCTTCTGTTTGGCGTAGTCATAAGGACCGGATGTTGAACTTTTAGTTATGGTGTATAGTAAAGGGTTTTTTTAGAGTTTTGTTTTTTGGTTTAATGCTCCCAAGAGCTTTTGTGAAGTAGTTTCGAATTTTTAGGTAATTTGATTACAGACATTCGTATTTGAGGACCATCAGAGTTGATAGATAAACTTAGTTCTATTGCCTTCCATCGTTAATTAAAAAGGTCTATTTTTTTAAGCAGAATCCAAGAACTTTTACAACCACCCTGCATTCAAAATGTTGGATATTGAAGTTTATATTATAATCCAGTTTTCTTTGGCCCAAGCAATACAGTAACAAAAACAATAAATTTTTCGAACGATCTCTGGAATTCAATCGAATATTCTGAAATACAATGGGGAAGTTTCCTTTATTGAGGTTTTCATCTCACTGTGAAGTTTGTAAAAAATCAATATTACTTTTTTTTTTTTCGTAAGATCAAATTTCGCTTCAGAATAAAATAAATGAAAGAGGAACTTGGCTCCTCCACCATTCCTATGACGTACTATCTGAAAATCCACATTCACACAGAGTTAAAATGCGATTCCCTGTGCCATTACGACGTTGCCGACATCATAAATATGTCTAGATTTCCGGAAATTGTTCTTTGAATGCATAATAACTATATCATAACAGCAATGGGATATAAATAGGTTCTTCAATTCTATTTTGTCAAGTATTATGAATAAGTCTCCCATCGGCTGAATGAAGTTGATTACTAATAAAGATAAATTATGATATTTTGCGATAATATCTATAATTTTTTCTATCCTTATAGTACAATATGTTATTCATAACTTGCCACTCATTTTTTTGCCAATGAATTCCTTCCACAATAAAACGGATATATTTTCTAGGAAAGTTTCAGATTATATCTATCTATCTATCTGATAGGCACAACAAGAGGAAGGCGCCATGGGTGTCGGCTTCATTCTGTTCTGACCGATGGCAGTAAATTAGGAAGGGTACTATCATTTAATGTAGCCGATAGTGATTCATTGATTCAATGATATTTCCATTTAGGATCGAGCTCCATTTGAGATATTCCAATGCATAAATAACAAAACCATAACCTGTAAGAATGAAACCAACTACCTTCTGCATTCCTGCTCCGAGTGAAATTGTGGTTATGTATGTTTTTGTTTACCAGTTCCACCTCTTCTTCTATTTTTTTCATTCGTTAGCTATTCGTTATGTATTCGCTGGCTATATTCTAAAATTAGAAATTGCTTTAATTAGAAATTGCTTTAATTTGAAATTAAAAACGACTTGGACTTTATCGGTCGTCATTCTGTCCAGCTTGGACATAGAATTGGAGATTTCCGAACTTATTTTATGAAAATCCATCTGAAGGAAACTTCCCCATTGATGCTTTCTGAAATTAAATAATTGACGCTTTCTACCAACTATTCTGAAATGCAATTGACACTTTCCGAAATTACCTATTTTAAAATATAATTGATACTTTGTGAAATGCGAGTGACTACTCTGAAATATAATTGACGCTTTCTGAAATACAACTAAACTACTCAACACTAATTTCGTCGCACACCAAAATGTCGCCCCTGTTATAATGTGAATAACTTTTTTCAGTTTAGAACAATTTGAATTTGGTTCACACTGTTCGATAGCCCAGTCCTCCAGCTAGAATCTCGTACTTCATTGAAACATAAGGGTATTCTCATAAAGTCTCTACATGGTGTTTTCCGACACTGTGCGAAATTTCGGAATATTCAAAAGGCTCTCAAATGGTGAAAAATTTTTTTTTTCTCAACTTCGACAACAGAGGCATGAAGATGATCTCATTACCTCGAGATATTTTGCGAATCAACTTCCTATCTCTCTTATTTACAGAGTGATCTCAAAAAATCAACTTTTTGGTTTTGCAGCCATAACTTTTTTCCACGTCAACCGATTTTGGAAATCTCAGGCTCATTTTGAAGATAAAACTTCAGGTGAAGAGATCTGAATATCAGAATTGACTCAAGATGGCTATCAAAGATCTAGAGTTTTCTTGAAAGTGACCCAAATCGGGAACGCCCTTCGAATCTTGGTTGGGAGGGGAATTGAATGAAAATCAACTTGTTCTCGGAAAAACAATTCATTCTGGATGCGTTCATATTTTCCTCGCTCTCAGTAGTCAAGAATTGTGCGTGAGAAACCACAATTGAAACATGTTCTTGCAAAAACATTAGATCATTTCTCCTCTGTAATGTATGGCCCGCCGTATCCAACGTTACAAGAATCACAATGAGTGACTGACAAACCCGACCAGCTGAGGCTTATCATAAATGGTGTACCAACAAGAGCAACGGATTTTGATTTTTTCAATAAAGTGGTTGTTTTAACAGTTGTCACGTACATAACATGCGATTTAAGAATATGGAGAAGTATTCAAGCAAACAACGTTTATTTATTGTAAAAACGCATTTCAAAAATGGTGAAAGTTACACGAAAACAGTTTGCCAATTACGTAAAGTTTTCAGTCGCAATATGCGCCGAAGGAATCGACAGTAATAACCAAACAATTCGTGTCGGAGATAAGTCCTTTGAATGGATCGGACTGTCGTGTTTAGCAGATCCGCGATTTGGAGGGAAGATAACCCTTGTTCCCTCATTTGTGGAATCAGTTCCAACTGGTCGGGCGTTAGATGCGGCATCGAAACTATCAAAATGTTTATGATTCGAAAACGACGTCTAACCTGACTTGTCAGTCACTTACTGTGATTCTTGTAACGTTGGTTACGGGCCATGCATTACAGAGGAGAAATGGTCTGATGTTTTTGCAAGAACATGTTTCAATTGTGTTTTCTCACGCACATTCTTGAGTAATGAGAGCGGGGAAAATATGGACGCATCCAGAATGAATTGTTTTTTCGAGAACAAGTTGATTTTCATTCAATTCTCCTCCCAACCGAGATTCGGAGGGCGTTCCAGATTTGGGCACTTTCAAGTAAACTCTAGATCTTTGATAGCCATCTTAAGTCAATTCTGATATTCAGATCTCTCCATCTGAAGGTTTATCTTCAAAATGAGCCTAAGATTTCCAAAATCGGTTGACGTGGAAAAAAGTTATGGCTGCAAAACCAAAAAGTTGATTTTTTGAGATCACTCTGTAAATAAGAGAGATAGGAAGTTGATTCGCGAAATATCTCGAGGTAATGAGATCATCTTCATGCCTCTGTTGTCAAAGTTGAGAAAAACATTTTTTTCACCATTTGAGAGCCTTTTGAATATTCCGAAATTTTGCACAGTGTCGGAAAACACTATGTAGAGATTTTATGTGAATACCCTCATGTTTCAATGAAGTACGAGATTATAGCTGGAGGACTGGGCTATCGAACAGTGTGAACCAAATTCAAATTGTTCTAAACTGAAAAAAGTTATTCACATTATAACAAGGGCGACATTTTGTTGTGCGACGAAATTAGTGTTGAGTAGTTTAGAAAAGGTATCATAACTGAGGTCTCATACAATGTAAATATGATTCAATTTATCAAAACTGATTATTCCGTGTCGCTACCCATCAGGCATCCACGAAGTGGAGAGGGGCGAGCAGGAGCTCGAGCGCCAGCGCGAAATGGAGGCCGAGAATCCGCCCGATTCGGACGAGAGCGAATCCGGCTCTGGGCTGGAGGGCAGGCAGTGTGCGGGCATGACGACGCCGCCCGATTCGCCGAACGCGGTCGGGCGGCTGCTCAGGGAGCACAGCCTGCAGTACGAAGGTAAATTCCACAAAATCTACCGGTATTTAGAGGTCGTCACAGGTAAGCGATCGGGCATCGTCGGTTCGAAGGGGAAGGCTGGTGGGCGGGCAGGTATGACGTTGTCTGGTCAGTGCACTTATTCATCTACATGGTTCTAGAAATTTTCTAAATCTGATTTGATTGATTGTCTTTATTACCCCAAGTAACGTTATTGTTTATAATAGGGATATATACAACAATACATACATATAACATAATAAATCGAAACAATATTAATTGTGAATGATTAGTAGATATGGATATATCGAAGACTGGTACCTTTGGCACGATAATACACTACACTGTTTTACCACTATGTCAGCATCTTCGGGAGGAGATTAAAACTAAATATCCAATTCTAGTGTGCTGCTTATATACTAGGTATATGTTCACCCATTGTCGTTCTGGATGACAACCTAGTTAGGTAGTCAGTAGGCAGGAGCTATACGTCCTCGCACTAGGTCGTCTACTAGGTTTTTATTTAGATCGACAATGATGGAAGTAAGATATGGTGTAATTACTGATGTGCTTTTGTTTCAGAAATTTTACTCGACCTCTCGAGAACAGCGAGAGCAATGGTTCCGTCGATCTTCTAATAGATGGCGACATTGCACAATTATGACATCTGTCAGTTTTGTAATTGTCGCAGATTTTTCGATTTCAGAGTTGAATAATCCCACTGTTACATATGTTCCTCGTACCTAAAATGCCATTCGCCATTTTATTTCCACTCGTCACAGCAGCAATAGCAGAGCACCATCTAGCGGAAAAATGTAGAATCAACGTCTTGCTCGTTGTGACGTAGAGAAATCATAGTAGGCGGTCGAGTGATTTTTCTGAAATTTTCAATACGTAATAATGGCCGAATACACGCACCATATCTTACTTTCATCATTAGATCGACAATGGTTCACCCAACCGTGAAAATACTAACCGTCAAGTTGATTTCACATGTGAATTCAACCAGTCGGAGATCATGATTATTTCGTAAAAATTAGAAAATTCATGATGGCGGGTCCAATATAGCGAGCGAGTTTTCTAATTATGATCGGATTCTATTTAAAATTAGTATCTGGATGATTTCGGAGTCTAGATTATAATTTTTTAGTCAAAAGTAGAGAATTCAAAATGGCGGATCCAATAAAGCAAACGCGCTTTATAATAAACAGTATTTGAAACTAATGAAGCACGTTTTATCGATAGCCAAACTAGAAAGAAGTAAAATAAATAGTAGAATTATAAAACTCTGAAGAGATAGATTGCCGAACTAAAATGAAGTAGAGAATAAATAGAAGTTCGAAAAATTAAAGAAAACACTGTTATGGATAGCCAAACTAAAAAGAAGTAGAAAATATTATATTGAAAGTGTGTTGATAGATATTATCTCAACTGAAAAAATATTTTCCAGAAATAATGTGTTTACATAGCAGAACAATGTGGCAGTATATGTCACTGAAATGAATGTCAGGGTTTCAGTCGTCAGATATTTCAAATTCTGCTGTCAAAAATATCTATTTATTTATATCAAAATGTGCTCCATGACATAATGAAAAGATGATCTTGTCATATTTACTTTTCATTTCCTAATAAATAAAACGAAATATGAATTTTATCTTGAATTGAAGTGAAAAACATGTAGGTCCATTTCAAAAATAGGAGTCAAAAGTCGCTGACGTTGAAGTTCTTATTTGAAAAAATAATGATCAGATCTTACTTATGGTATCCAATGATTCATTTCCTCTGCTTTTCAATGGCGGCGTCATGGCCTGAATCGTTTTTTTGTCGTCACTCTGTATTCGCGAGATTCACGAAGTGGGCGACACCTAGGTTACATAATACGAACTTCAAACTGGGGGAAAACAAACTGTTGTCTATGGATAAAGTGCATAGACTACATCGCATTCAGCTTGCTGTAGCTGTAGTCAAACTTGTCAATGACATATAAAAGAACAGCTACATGTTTACAATACCAAGATTGTCCTGCTTTGCATGAACAAATACAAATCCATTGTTCTACAGGAGTTCCTCTGGACCCCAACTTCAATTTTACTTCATGTGGGGAAGATTTCATCGCCGAAGTTTGTAGATGAAGTGCAAAAATGTGCCTTTTGTTGAAGTCTTCTGCCTCACACAAAATCACATGATTTGCACGGAGAACTGTTTCTCTTTCCACTACTGGTCGGCTCTCTCCGTCTAAATAGAGCAAAATATCTGCCAAATGAACATCTACAACAGGCATTATCAGCGTTTTCGATCGACTATTGACAATTAATGTCAAGAATTCAAAAACTTATCACTCTTATCAGTACACAAGCTAATGGCACTAATGGGATTGGGTGAGGATTGAGTTTGTTTTCCCACAGTTTTGACGTGGCTTTGACATGGAACGACGAAATCCGAGCGCCACCTGGTAACATTGATTCCCGCGAATTCAATAATGTATCAACATGAGATATTTTTGTTTACAAACTTAGCAGGATAATCGACCGTACAAAAAACTGTCATAATAACGTTGAGTTTTGCTTTTTTTTTCTTCTCAAAGATCAGACTATAACTATACCTACCTGCCCACTGGTATTCTCTTTCTGATCGACAATGTCTCGGCGGACTAACTGCTTGTCTGGGGCTGCTTCTGTAGGGCTTGTACGAGTTTGCATTCTGTCTGAGGGAAATATTGTTGTTGTCGTCTTTATTACCCCAAGAAAAATATATGCTTATAACAGGGATACTAAGAAAAATGAAGATAATTAAAGGTTGAATAATGGGTCCCTCTTAGTGGAAACAAATTCATACTTCTTCTCAAGATGAAAGTCAACATTTCAATTCTCTGAGTAATCAAATCATGCCAATAATTTTTCAATCAAATTGCCTGACTAGGTATTCCTCAAAATTGACTTCAAATCTTCTTACATCATGTATATTCTTCAATTCATTGGGTAATGAATTGTATAGAATTATTCCATTATGAAATACAGGGTGAGTGACTCAGAGAGGAGCTAGGTGACTACCTGTAACTTGGTTAGGTCATGGAATCAAATGACCAAAATCATGTGACAGAATGTTTTTGTGGAATTATGGTATTATTTGACATAATTGCATGGGTCAAATACCTTGTCAAAAGTGAATTTAACTATTTAATTGCAAGAAGGAGTGTATCTAGCGCCTGAATCACCTGGTAAATTCGAGGTTATATGGGATGCGTGCAAGAACTGTCATATGAGCGACCCTGGAGGTGAAACATTGAAACACAACCTCACTTTTCTTATTTGTTTACAAGTGATTGAAATAGTTTTTCACAATTATTTTGGCTTAAGAATCGGGTTTTTCGGCTATTCATCAATTCGCGCATGCCATCACATTGTGCTGTTGTACAATGCACGAAAAATGCAGCGAGAAACGAAGGAATCCGGTTGGTACATTATGATTTAAAAGTGAGTACCTTATTATTATAGTCACTCAAATATAGTTTTCATTTTGAAATTTGGTTATTTCTCTGATTCCTCATCGGAATTCTTTCTGCAATAGGAGCTAATAGAAATACTCGTTAATTTCTGAAAGAATGCAAGAAGATTGGATTCATGCAATCAAACGGAAGGACTGGTATGGCATGCTGACGAAATATGATCGTGTGTGTTGTAGACATTTTGATTGATTGATTGTCTTTATTACCCCAAGAAACATAGTTGTTTATAATAGGGATACATAAACAATATACATAGTGTTATACATACAATTATGAAATTATAATAAGATATAACAAGTAAAAAAATGCAAATAATCATGCAATATCAACCTAGTCTATTATAAGTAGGTATTCAAATTGGAAATGGAATTATCAAAGTCTCTGAAGCAGATATTTTTTTAAGTTAATTTTGAATCTAGTTGCTTCCTGTATATTCCTCAATTGACTTGGTAATGAGTTGTATAGAACGATTCCTGTGTGAAAAATTAGCAGTATAGCTTCTATTGCAGAAGTGGCAGAAGGCATTTTAATAAGAAATGTCGAAATTTTATGATGCGAAAACCATGTGTGATTACTATTTACCTGAAAAATCATATTCCTTCGTCTCTCGCTGCATTTTTTGTGTATTGTACAACAGCACAATGAGAAGGCATGCTTGAATTAATGAATAGTGCAAAAAACACGATTCATATGCCAAAATATTGTGAAAAACTATTTCAATCCTTCGATTCCTCTGTAAACAAATGAAAAAAGTGAGGTTGTGTGTCAATGTTTTACAGAAAAGTGAGGTTGTGTTTCAATATTTCACCTCTACGGTCTGTCATCGTGCACGTGACCTATTGAAATTGTTGGTTATCTCATAAGTGGCTGGGCATTTATGTACCAATGTTTGAGCATTAATGATCAAGCGATTTTTTATATTTTTGTTGGTCCTTTTGTTACTAAAATACTGCAATGGGGTTGTATAGGTCATAGATTTATAAAATTTCAACTGTTTATTTGCATAGAAAATTATACATCACACATTGCAGCAATTTGCCATTTCACTAACCTAAATACAAACAATTATTACTAAAACTCAAAGCAATATGAAGAACATCTGAAGAAGTCCAAAAATTTTAGAGAAAAATCGAACATTACAATTTTTCATTGTAATTCATTTCAGTTCATTTCAGTCAAATATGCATTTTGAAAGAAACTATTGTTGAACTGTTTATTTACTTACTATATTTTTGATGCAAAATAACTTGTGGTCAGTGGATAAAAAGATCATAATACACTCACAGACAAAAAACTGGTAATTAGTATCCACTACTGTATTCCTTTTGGTTCCTTCAGTCTATCAATTTCACAGAACTAAAATAAAAATTAGATCAGAAAATATAATTACTTCTGTGTATTAGTGAGTATGATATAATGAAGTTACCTTATTTTTGACTTGTAGGTTCGTTCAGATTTTTCAAAGTATATCCAGTCATCAAACCAAAACTTAGACCAAGAGGTATCACGTTTGAGTTGGTTTTCAGTTTTCCCAGAATTTTTGCCAATAACAAAAATAACTGTGCTGGCGTGAAATGGCTTGTTGGGCCTAATGGAAGCTTAAATTCATTTCACATGATTCTTTGAGATAGACAAGTTTGCCATGGTATATCAGAAAAAAGTCTCCTATAATGTATTGGTACTCAAGAACATCAAACAAATATTTTAAAGTTAGGTATTTTGGCATGTGTCAGGCATCAAATTCCAAGCTATAATTATTGGTTTCGTGTTTCTTTCTAAATTGAAGTTTGAACAACTAAAACTTTTGGGTTATTTGAGGGAAGTTGGCTCCAAAATAAACCCATATAAATGTTGCAGAATAACTGGATTCAATAACTCATTCATAGAATTGACCCTATTACAGTCCTGGTATATTTACCATTTCAGATGTCCTCCTTCGAACACCCTGTGTCAGGACACCTAAGCACCAAATTAACGAACATTCGCGGTGCTTGATGATTTCTCAAAGAAACATTTTCTGTGTATAAACGAAATGCTGCTGCTGCACTTTGGCCACACTCACCATGAATCAAAAGCATGTAAACAAATTAATTTTTTTCGTAAACGTGATTCATTGAAAAGGAATATTCTCAAATATATTTATGAACACAAAAAAATGGATATATAAATTTGTAGTAGGCTACTTGGGGTAGAATCACAATTATACACGTAGGCACCATAAACACTTAAAAACACTTATATTCAACTTCTGTTAGGTACAACTTGTCTCTACAATATCTGAATAATTAATGATGAGTCCAACCTTATCCCGTTTATATTACATAAAACTATATTAGTCACTATCAGCATAGCTATCAGTATATGAGTCGAGTCAGATGCCTTTCCATAGGCGGGTACCGCATTCTCCATGTGATGAAAATATTAATTCTTTCTCGGTTTATTCAACAGAAAACTTTCCTGTTTTCAATCTGCCCAAGTATTTTGAGACTACCCTTACTCACACTGTATGTAACTCTCATACCAGGTTTCTGCAGTACCTTTCAATTTATTGACTATTTGATGACAATGAAACTATGGATGGATATGGTTCCTTAACTTTCGAGCTATAGGGTGTTGAAATATCATTTTCTCTATTATTGGAAAGAAACTTTCACAATACGTTGCGGAGGATTGAGGATTTCAAAAATGATTTTAATTTTTGGGAGAAGCAAGGGCGCACAATATTTTTTTTTGAAAAATGTCCAGTATACATCCCATAAGATTGCCACTGGTAGGAGCATTGAAGAATCTTTGAAAATGAAAATATCTAGAACAGTATTGAGGAATTTATGATTGAAGTTATGAACAAAAAACGATTTTTTTATTGAAATTATAACACCCCATAGCTTGTAAGTTAAGAGGTTTATGGCATATGTTCATATGAAATTTCCTTCTTGAAATCAGTTAAGGAATCATATCTTTCATTTTTAGCCATCCATTAAATTACACCTTGCATAAAACTAATGTCATGAATACATTTATAGGTTTCACGCACCAAATCATTGTTGTCAAACTGACATTTGTCAAAAAAGCGAAACACACATAACTTGCAAAATTAAATCGTACAAAAACCTATCGAAATTCATAATTTTCCTGAAAATAGTAGACTTTTCTCCATGCCGAATGACCTAGCAGTCTCAGCTTTGTTAGACGCAGTCCGACGCAATCTTCCTCCACCGCTTCTATGCGATTTTACCACTGACATTAACTACTATTTAGACCGCTACTGCCAAATGAAAGAAGGTAAGCCAATCATGACATCGAACGGATGATTGTTAATATTTTATTTAATAGCTTAGTTAATATTAGGGTCCGTTAAACACTGCCTCACAAAAAAATTACGTATGATACGCCAATGTCCTCAATATAACCTAAAAAACAACAAATGTCAGAAATCTACTGTTTATCCCCAGAAATGAATGAAGATGGAACTATATAACTGTTTCACAAACACTTTAGAGTGAGAGGAGACGAGGATCTGTCCGTCCCCTGTTGAGATGACAAAAACGTCAATTTACATCAAGGGACCCTAGTTAATATTGGTCTTTCACAAACGTTCAAATAAGCAGAAGTGAAGTATTTTAATGGGTATGCAAAATCTATTACAAGAAAATGCAAAAAAGACTATTTTTTTACATAAAGAAATAAATTCTGTCAGTTGCATGTCATATGTCAGCAACAACTTCTTCATTTTAGTGTTATCCTATACAGGGTGTATCTGAATTACACTGAAAAAATTCAAGGGGTGTTCCTTGTGACATTCTAACAAATCAATCAAGCAATAAAGTTCTTATAAACATGTATCCTAACTTGCTCCGTTTTTGAGAAACAGGATGTTGAAGTTGGAAATATTGATTGTTTTTATTTACAACCCCCCTGTATAAGCTTTCATGGTGCCAAAATTCACTATGGATGGAGACTCAGAATGCCCCAAAATTTCAGAATGATTCTTATTGGGTTTATTGAGTAATCTCAATGGAAGTCTTGAAAGCACATACATCAAAATTTGGAGTCAAATCGAATTTTTATTCATTATTCCAGATTTTTTGAGATTTTCTCTCCTTGTTTTCATAGAATAAAAATATGAATATTATTTCGATTAACCTACAGTTACAGTATTTAACGAATTTTTATTGTTCCTCGAAAACTAAGCTAGATATAAAAATTACTCAGATGATAAAAAAGTTGTTATTTCAATAGTTCATTCACCATGAATATAGATAAATTTACCCACTGTGACGTCACTGGAAATATTATTTCGAATCTAATTGGAACACTTGTATCTCCTCTCAAAAAGAAAGATACTGCCGTGAATCAAGAACTGATGTGTTAGAAGAGACAAAAAAGGATCACACTTGGATCCAAAACATGATTAAGTGAAAGTTTGGAGAATGAAATTCCATACTTTTTTGAAACACTTGTATCTTCTATTAGAAAGATGACATTGACATGAATGTGAAACCATGATGAGGCAAAGTTTAACCACTAACATTTGCCACATAGCGTTGAGAAGTTGAGGGTGAAAGAGTAATTTTTGATCTTTGACATTCCGAAACAGAATTCTACGATATGGTCGAAATTTCACCAGAATCGGACAAGCATTAAAAAAGTTACAGGGCTATCAATTCGTCGAAATTTTTTGCTGCCCGGATTTTTTTGCCGGTGAGTGTATTATGACAACTCTTTAATGCGCATGATTCATCATCTCCAGTTCGATCTCGTGAGTGGCTCACATTCTTCCTTATAGCCTTACCGGTCTAGATAGTATAGTCTGTTGATTTGACAGCATAACCGGCGATTTTGCAGGTGGGATAATACCCGAGCTCGACATTTACGCGATACCGAGCTGTGAATCGGCGCCAGTCAAAGAGATCTATTTCATAGCCATCATCGATGTGTTGACCCACTACGGAGTCAGGAAACAGGCCGCCAAGGCAGCCAAAACCGTCAAATACGGTTCCAATGTGGACGGTATCAGCACTTGCGACCCGGAACAGTACGCCAGAAGGTTCATCGACTTCATGTCGAAAGCCATTGAGTAATGGAAGAGTAATAACCCAGGCGAACGGTATCAGAATACCCCCCTTTCTTTGCGAAAAATCCAGTAGTCGGTTTTATTATCGTACCCTATGTTTTTTGGGGGGCTGAATTCGAATCCGGAGTTATCCAACCAAATTTCCTGGTGGGTTTTTAGATATTCGGAAAAAACAGCGGAATATCAGCACTTTTCTTGGTTGTTTGCTTATACTTCAGTCCGCAGACATATAAAAAAGGGAGAAACATAACATTTTATCCATAGAACACTACTTGTTTACAATCATACATACAAGTTTCAAATACGTTAGGAAGAGATGACTTCAAAAATGGCAACGCTGTAATCTGTGCGTCTATATTCATACTTTTCTCCACCAGGTAGAGGTAACGATAGTGGCCAAAAATTGACTATCGAGACTATCGATAGCAGACATGTCGACTATCGAAACTATCGATAGTTTAGAGTTAGTATTGTCACAAATGAGGAGCTATTTGAAGTTAAATTCCAAAATTCTTATAGAATCATATTGGTTCGAAGTCATTGAACGTTCATGTATCTGTTTATTATTTCCAAAATTATTGAACCACGAACTTTCGATTAATAGTTGAACCTAAACACAGGCGTGACATTGACTTCAAACCATCCACCTGACTTCCTCACTGTCACGTTTCCAAAATATAGATTAAATATATAAAAGGCGCGAGGAAGTCAGCACAGGTATCAGTTGGATCATTCCGATCACTTTCGATCATTTCGATCTTTTCGATCATTCAATCATTTGACTCGATCGATCATTCGACACTGTGCCCGAACCGTCGGAGTTCGGGCAGAACAGAAGATGCCCTTCCTCTAAGGTCCCAGCAATATTAGCTTGTAATGTACATATAGGGTAAGTTAAGTTTTTATTTATTGTTAATCAGAAACCAAAGAATAAATGTGTGTATATGCTTTGTTGAAAACCTTTTGAGGTATTCTTTATTATTATCACTTTAAAAGTTCATTCTCTAATAGATCCAGAACACAGCTTAGGCAACCCCCGCCTACAGTTTGTGACAGTATTGAGAAAAATATCAACAGTTCATACAGGTACAGGTAGGTATCCGTGGAACTTGAAACTATATACAGTGTGACCCATTTAAGATGGAAGCACCCTTATAAAACTTACATTTTTCAACCGATTGGAATGATTTTTTTTTGTTAAGTAGATATTCAAAAAGTCTATTAGGACACCAAATATCATGAGTAAATCTCCATTTCCAGGGCCAACTAATCTGATTTTTCAAGGTCAAAAATCTAAAAAAATTACTAGCGATTTTTTTAGAAAAAATCTGACTACACCACTAGATTTGTGACATTTTCAAATGGGTAACATGTAAATTACGTTGAAATGCGTCAATCAATAAAAAAGTTATAAAGGAATGAAATTTGAAAAATATGCCGTTTAATCAACCCACCAATTCATGTTCAGGAATTTTATGAAAATTCTGTATACTCCACTGGATTCAGGATGTCTTGAAATATTACTGATCACAGTTTCATCGAAATCTGTTCAGTAATAAAAATTGATGGGTTGATTAAACGGCATATTTTTCAAATTTCATTCCTTTATAACTTTTTTATTGATTGACGCATTTCAACGTTATTTACATGTTACCCATTTGAAAATGTCACAAATCCAGTGGTGTAGTCAGATTTTTTCTAAAAAAATCGCTAGTAATTTTTTTAGATTTTTGACCTTGAAAAATCAGATTAGTTGGCCCTGGAAATGAAGATTTATTCATGATATTTGGTGTCCTAATAGACTTTTTGAATATCTACCTAACAAAAAAAAATCATTCCAATCGGTTGAAAATGTAAGTTTTATAAGGGTGCTTCCATCTTAAATGGGTCACACTGTATATAAAAACTTCGAAAACAAAATGAGAACATAATCATATCTTCACAGTGTTGAAAAAATTTCAGTTCCATAGTTAACAGTCTTGTCTTTATACTAATATTAGGTCTAAGGGTTAGAATTAACCCATAGATGAACGAAAATAAAAATGGTTCCATTAGATGAACCCTCTTCAGTAATAGAAAAACAAATGTCAATTTGTTTCTCTACGGTAAAACCTATTCACTATAATATGTGAGTTTTAATTCAAAAATTCTTCTTCATCATTCTGGATGCTCTCGATTAATGAAACCATGCATATATTTATTTCCTTCTTCTGATTTTTTTTCTTAGTTTTTACTTTTCTAGCTTCTTTCCATGCTAATTTCACCTACAGGCCACTTGATGGCCACACTCGTCAGTGTACATGACTATCGGATTGTAACTATCTAAACTATCGATGTTTCGATAGTTTTATAACTATCAACACTATCGATAACATCGCTACCTCTACCACCAGTCGCGTAGGTTAAGCGAGGGGCAATATAATTTTACGACAATGAGGACGCTATTATATTTATTAGAAAAGTTTGGATCTGATCTTTTAATTTTAATACCAAATATTCATAGTACCTCAGGTACTTACCTAAATTTGATCCATCATTCAGTGGAATTCGAAAAAACAAGGTTTCTTGTAATAAGTTAGTTAACTAACCTGCGATAACTACGCCACCGCTCAAGTTAAATATAACCTAACTCGCCGTCGAAATACCAATTTGGGGTTTGTATGGTGAACTTTTTTAAAATCCTCGCACTGGCGAACCATAATAGACTATCAATAATAATTATCTTTATATAGTTTTATGACAATTGAAACAAAAACAGTCTTAAAATGGTAACAAACACAGCACATCAACACGGTAACATCGGATTTTGACATATAAAATAAGAAACTCATAGTAAATTTTATTTGATGATGAAATTAGGAAAATTTAAATTATCTCAATAGTAGAATATATTCAATATACAGGGTGATTCACATAAGAACCGACATAGAGCAGGGGCATGTAGGGGGTCCCAAAATATGGCAATTTAATGCAACTTACCTCTATACCAAGTTGCTTCCCTAAGGAGATATAGGCTTTGTAAGTGAAGTTATAAATTTTGAAAAAAATCAATATCTTCGTTATTCTTGAACTTAAAGCAACCAAATTTGGTACACTTTGTGGATGTATTTAGGGCGTTACTTGACAGTAACTAGAGTTCAATTGAAATCTGTAAAGGGGGTATACCGGGTGGCGCATCATTAATATTCAACATTATTTTGTTAACCCTTGATAGATTTCAAAAATCTTTGCTTTGTTTTGTGGGCAATTCAATTCTAAAACTTTTCTTACTCTAGTAATTTTTCGAAAAACCTCATCATTTTCATCAAAAACTCGAATAACTGAAAACGCGCGATCTAGGTGTGTTATTTAAAATCATCGAAAATTCAAATGTTGGCAATGAAAATAAACGTCAAACTTGTCAATGAGGCAAGTGAGTTGTTCAATTAAGTAATTGTTGTTTGAGTGTTTTTAAAATGAACGGGAAGTTTTCTTTTAACGAGCAAGTTGACATGCTGTTAGTGCTATGCCTATAACTCCTTAGGGAAGTAACTTGGTATAGAGGTAAGTTGCGTTAAATTGCCATATTTTGGGACCCCCTACATGCCCCTGCCCTATGTCGGTTGTTATGTGAATCACCCTGTATAATTAAGAAACAAACATACAGAATGAATATACATAAAAAATGTTTATTGTATAATTCAAATGACTGAGAAGAAAATAGTGGACAAAGCCCTACGGTGACAATAAAAGTTCAGAAGATAGGCAACAGTTGGTGATAAATGCTTCCCTCGTTCTCAAACACAGGCGGTAGATCTAGGGCAATCCTCAGAAAATTGTCATCATTGTTTTCTGCTTAAGACGATGTTGGATCGGGACAAAATGAATGCCCAATAAGGAGGGTTTTGAAGACATGAAAGATCCTATGAGGAAAATTGTCAGGAGTGAAGTGGTAACATATCTTTTCAGCTTCAATTCACATTCAGAGTGATGCAAGTAGATCGAATAATTATTTTGGTAAGACTCCACCTGAACCCTTTCCATGACTCTGAAAACTTAGCGGTTCTTTCATGAACATGAATCAAGAATTCTTTGATTAGATAGAAATTGACACATATTTGAATCGCTGTATCTGTATCTCCAGAACTATCTGACCGAGGTTATATTCAAATTGTGGCAAATTTGATCATCTCTGAAAAAGGTGTGCTTCGTTTTTGCTACCACACATGCTTTTTGGAATTATAAGCGAAAAACGAAAAAAAGTACGAAAATTTCACTGTTCTTTGTGACAATCTCACAACGAACCAGGAAATTTAGGTTGAATATTCCAGATTTGGACACAGCAACTCGAGAAATATAGGGTACGATGATGAAACCAACTACTGGATTTTTTTAAACGTAAAACTACCATTTGCCTGTATTGTATTTTTATGAAAGAGTGGTCGATGGTCAAGTATATTTCACGGTATCTCTTAAGGGCGGATCAGTTCACCTTATTTATAATCCAGTCTTTGACGTCAGCGGCACAGATGACGTCACCCCGTTGCTTTCAAGGAGTTAACATTGTGGTATAGGGATTGAACTGATTTTAATGTTTCGTCGTGACGTTATTAGGAGCAAGAAAGTGTTATTAGCCCTGAATTATCTCAGCAATATCATCATGATTAATTTTGTTCCGAAATTGTGGAGTTGGTTATACAGGGTGAGTCAATAGTGTGTTCTCTTTCGATATTAGCCAAACCCTCAGATATAAAGAAAAAAATCGAATACCACACTTTTAGTGTTTCATGAGAACTATCACCTAAAATTATTTTCATATGTATAGGGTGTTCGAATTCCAGGTTCGCTGAGGTTTTTTCAAATGCACACATTGCATTTTTAGGTTCTCCCTGAAGAGCTGATTTATGTATTACACTTGGGGTCTAGCAGGAATGATATAGGGTGTTCATAATCGAGATTTTTCAACTTCAGGATTTTTTTGTGTCGAAATTATTCATTATTGGTCAAAACTGCTTAAATGTCCCTATG